CCACTAGCTTGGCCAAACCTTCTGGGAAGTGCTAGTCTGGCTCTGCCCTCCCAGCCTGCCTTCCCTCTCTTCCTCCGAACGTCAGGCCCACATTGAGGGCCAACCCTTCCCACCTCCGCTGGCTCACATCCCTTCTCCCTGCACAGATGTTTTCCCCAATAAATCTCTTGCAAATCTAATCCCGTCTTGGGGTCTGGCTTCCTAGAGGACCTGAACTAATGTGCTTTGGTTTTTAAAGCCCCCAAAGTCACCCTGGTAACCTGTATATAAAGCACCTGGCACATACTGGGTTGTTTCTCTTTTCCTCTTGGAGTGTAGGGTAACAGTAGTCATTCTGTGAGGCCATTCCTGTGTCCTATGGGAGCAAGACAGACCACCCTGTGACCAGGAGAATATGCATGCACCTGGAAACCTATAACCTGGAGGTTCAGAGAGGCTGAGAGACTCACTTGAGAGCACACAGCTCCTGCCTGGGTGCCCATGGACACACACAGATGCATGGCATGGGAAAACGCAGGCAAGGCGGAAGGACACAAGGTCAGGTTGCGGTGTGGGGTGTGGAGTAGCAGAGGGCATGTGGAAAGCAGGCCTTTCCTGCCCCTCCCGGCTGACTTCCCATGGCTGGTCTGTGTGTTTTGGTGCCATGGCAACCAGCTGTGAGGGGTACACATGGAGGGTGAAGCTTAACCTTAGGAGACTGGGCAGCTGGACAGGCCTAGAAGATCCCAGGTCCACGACCTCCCAGCCTCCATCCAGCCTAGACACACTGCCCAGCCCAGCCCAGCCTAGCCTCGGCCACCGGGAAACGCCTTTTTCTGCTCAGTCTCGATGCCTGTCCAGCCGCTGGTCTCAGCCTGGGCCACACTAGCTCTGACTCTGGACTGCTGTCTTCTCTTCTTCTAAGTTGTCTCCATCTCTAGGGCTGAGTTCCAACCTCACCTCCTCCTGGAAGCTGTCCCTGACTTCCCTGGTCCAAAGCGCCATTTTCTTCCTCTGAACTCAACTAGCGGTTACTGCACAGTCTGCGGCAGTCCTGTTACGACATTTGAACATTGGCACCACCCAGTTCACAAGCCTCCAATATGCTCTGGACACTGCAAAGCACTGGCCTCCTGGTGCTGAGTCCATCTGGGCTCCTTGGATTTCAGGCAGGGAGCAGCTGCGGCTGCAGGACCTGAAGGCTCCTAGGGCTTACTCCCTCCACCCCACCCCTGACTCTACCTGGGTCAAAACACCGAGTTCCGAGGACCCTCCAAGCGCACAGCGGTGAACGAGGCGCAGGCTTTGCCTTCTGAAAGCTCACCCCCATTTCACCCAACACCAGCGATGATGGCCCAGAAGCCAGTGAGCAGCGGAACTGGGCTCAGGAGCAGACTGAAATGCAAGACAGGCCCTGTGTAAGCACCGAGCCCCCGGACGGGGAGGGGGGGCACTTTCCGCCCAAAGAGTCCTCCAAACTCCACGCAATGCCACCGACCAAATCGCAATAGGAGTTTGATTTTTTGATGAAATTTCACAAGCCTATTTGAAAACCAATCTCGGAGAACAACTGTCAGAAGAGCCAAGGAATGTTCAGAAAAGCAGCACAATGACGGACTTGTCTGATTGCACAGCCAAACAGTCCCGGGCAGGACCTTGCAGATGGTGCTGGGCAGGCACGGGGCAATGTCACAGCACAGGGAGCTTAGGAAAGAGCAATTCAGGGTATGCTAAAATAGCATGTAAAAGCAGTGGGGTAGTATTTTAGTTATCAGCTGAACAAATTCTGGGAATCCTATATATAGCCTGGTGACTATGAGTTAATAATATTGTATTGTATTCTTGCAGTTTTCTAAGAGAGTAAATCTTGAGTGCTATCATACACACATACACAAACACACGCACAGGTATGTAAGGTGATGGATGTGCTAATTAACTCGATTGTGGTAATAATATTACAATGTACTGTATATCAAATTATCACATTGTGTACCTTAAATAAATATACATACATATTTTGTCAATTATACCTCAATAAAGCCAAGAAAAGAAGCAGTAGGAGAACAGTGAATGCTTCAATAAATATCATACAGACAATTGGCTATCTTTGTGGAAAAAAACAAAATCATAAAGTTAGATTCCAGTTTCACACCATTCACTAAAATAAATTCCAGATGGATTAGAGAGTGAAATGTAAAAAACAAAGCTATAAAACTACTAAAAGAAAATATAGGAGAATTTGTTTGTAACCTTGGGGTAGGAAAAACTTTCCTTAGTGAGACATAAAACACAGAAACCATAAAGGAAAAGATTGCTATATTTGATTATATCCAAATTTAATACTGCTGTGTGACAAAAGACACCATAAATATGTTAAAAAGACAAGTGACAGACTGGAAGAAGGTATCTAAAACATATGCCACAGAAAAGAATCAATGTTTGAGATCTGCAATGAATTCCTACAAACAAATAGAAGAAAAATAACCTGAAAGGAAAAATGAGTGATAGGAATAGACAATTCACCTACAAGGGACTACAAATTGCCAATTAACATGAAAACATGCCCAGCCTCGCAAGTAATCAAAGAAATATAAATAAAAACAACACAGATAATATTTTTCACCTATCAGATGTGCAAAAATTTTAAGGATTTATCATAGTCACTGTTGGGAAGAATCTAAAAGTCATGAACACCTCTGTCACTAGTGGTTAAGACTGGAGATTGTCGTGGTGTTTGTAGATCTGGTTTATTAAGCTGTGAAATGCCCCACACCTTCATGGAAGCAATTCTGCATCTCTGCCTGGAGAAATGTTCCAAGTACACATGGTGCACATTCACCTGGAGAGGGTGGTGGTGACAGAAATGGGTACAATCAGAAACAATGAAAATTCTTTTTGACTCTGTATTTGGTAAATGGTTTTCTGGGCTCCAAACAAATGAGATAGACCTTTATCTAGATCCTGATATGGAAAAGTCTCGTTGCAAGAGAAGAACAAGTCACAAAGCAGTATGCTCTGTAAAAACATGGAGACATATTTCAACAGCATCCTGGAAGGGTATGTACCAGGCCGAGGATCCCAAGGGAGGGGAGTAGGATTATGCAGGAGCCAAGGAGGACTTTATCTAAACTATTTGTTTATTTTTTACAGTGACTTATGTAATAATAACACAATTAAAATAGCTAGAAAATCCAGCTGTGATCTGATGCCTAGCAGTTGAAGCTTCTGCTCACTGCTGCTGCCCTGGGCCTGTTGTTTAGATCTCATGTCTGGTTCCTGACTGCCCATGTCCCTGGCCCCTCACCACCTCCACGACACTAGGGTGTTAGTCTGGGTTCTTGACCTAAGTCACTTACTATTTTTGAAGCCTGATGCTTATCATGAGTCAGGAATGAAGGGAAATCGGGCATGTTTATAACCCAGGAGAGCATGTGGGCCAGAAATAAAAAGAGCTTCAGAAAAATGTGGTTGGAAAAAGCAAGGAAGGCTTCCTAGAGGAGGTGGCATTTGAACCGTGGCTTGAAAGATAATTTTCATCCTAACTCTTCCTCCTGATTATGTTAAATACTGTATAACACTTTCACAGACATTTTGAATAATGAAGAAAAACTATCACTCATAATCTCATTAGCTAAACAATGTTTATGAATTTCCTTCAACTCTTTCTCTACAAAGCACATATCATTTAAGTATGTAATCCAAATAATGCATTTTGATTACATGGTTTAAAAAATAACATTATATCATAGGTCCTTTATGACAATTTAAGTGACATTTATAATAGGCAGCTTATAATGGCAGTGCACTATGTCATTCAGTGAGCATACTATGATTTAATTACTCCTTCCCCTTCCATTGGTTGTTGGGGTTATTTTTTACTACTGATGCAGTAGTGTATATCCTTGAGGCTGTTGGCTTTTTTCCCCCCTCTTTTTTCTTCTTTGTTTTCCTTTTGGGATATTTCCCTGGAACAAATAAATGTTCAGAAGTGGAAATACTGGGTCAAAATTTATTAACACTTTTATGGCCCTTGAAATATGTTGCCAAATTGCTTCTAAAAGTGGAGGCCTAGAATACACTGAGGGCTTTGTTAGGCAAATGTAAGAGGTGTAGGAATTGGATGAGAGTCCTAAGTCTGGGAAACAACATGTATAAAGGTGCACTGACCAGGACAGATTTCTGGAATTTACCCTTGAATGCTATGACCTGGCCAAGATGTAGAATTGTATGGCAGAGTCTATTGGTTGACAAAGCAAGAAGCCATTCTCAAAGAAAAAGCCAGACGATGTCTTTCTCAGCTTCTTTTGCAGCTAAAATCAATCATGTGACTCCATTATGGGCTCTGGAAGGAATTTGTATGAGTTAGGGTTCTCGATGACGGGAACAGAATCAATAGAAAATATATGTATAATTATGCGAGGGGATTTATTAGGTGGGACTATAGGATCAGAGGTGGGAGAATCCACATTGGCCTTCTGTACACCAGAGGTTCCAGCAGCTGCTCAGCCCAAGAAGATGAAAGCCAAAGAACAAGAGGATCTTGTCAAAACTGAGGTCTGGAAGCTCCCTGGAGAGGGGCAGGTGCCAGTCTCTCATGAAAGACTGAAGAAACTGAAGACTAATGTTCGAAGGTGATGGTGAAGAAAAGCCCTCCCAAAATGGGGACGCTTCCTTCTTCATTGGCCTTGTATCTCTTCCAGGCTACAAGGCTATTGGTTGGTGCCACTGCATCAAAGGTAGGTCTTCCACCCCCAGTTTGATGGCCTAAATGTCAATCATTCACAGACACGCCCAGCACTGTGCTCCACTAGCTGCTATGCATTTCTAAATCCATTCAAGTTGACACGCCATGATTAATGGTCACAGGGTTCCCTCCTTCCTTCCTTCTTTCCTTCCTTCATTCCTTTCTTTCTTCCTTTGTTTCTAACTAGTTTATTAAATCTTTCAAATGGAAAATTGAGGGTTTTTGATTTCTTGATTAAAGGGTCAAATGTCTTTTCTCCTTCTTGCCCTGAATGCAGATGTAATGCCAGGAGCTGCAGCAGCCACATTACGAGTATAATGTTGGACAAGCATAAAGACAGAAAACCAAAGTGACATAACAGGAAGGAAGAACAGAAAGACCTGGTCCTTGATGACACATATGACTGACTGACTTGACACCACCAACAGCTTTCCTCTAACTTATGTGGAGTCGGTTTCTGGGCCATGGGCCCTGCAGGGCCTGGCTGAGGCCTCAGGTGCTGATGATGCCGTTGGAAGGAGGAGAGTCAAGGTCAGCCTATCTGCTTTCCTCCTGAAAGTCTGCAGCATCGAGGGAGGGGAACCAGCCCCAGGGCTGTCCTGCCCACTTCCAGCTGACACCTTAAGGATCACATTCTCCAGGTCAAAATTAGGACATGACTCTGTCAAAGGATTTTTTCCTCTGGCTGAGGGTACTTAATGGAAAGTTCTAATCAAGAAATAAAGATCAAATCTGCCAGGGGTTTAAAGAATCACTTTAATTGGAAAAAACAAATGCAGGCAACAGGGCCATCTGGACACAGAAAATGACGGCGGGGAAGGTTTCCTCCTCCACATCCGAGGGGACCATCATCTCCCGCCTGAGGGCTGAAGTGGCTATGGGAAGGGGTGGTCCTGGGCACAAGTGACTCACCTTGAACACGGTCTCCCACACTAGTAACCCTTCAGTCATTTTTAAAGGAAGTGTAGAGGCGTGTTGGTGAGAGAAACCAGAAAGCAAAGACACTGCCTGAAAGTCAGTCCAGGCCACCGGAGAGCAGGGCTCACCAGCAGCCTCAGTACTTCACTCAGTGACCCCTGCCCCCAGTTGCCCAGCAGTACAGCCCCGCAGCCTCGCCACCCTACTCTCCTGTGGGCCTCCCCGTGGAGGCTGGCCTCAGTTTGCAGTCCACAGAGACAGTTTCCATCTAGCTTCAGAGGTCACTTGTACCCTAAGGCGGGACAGCGTGCCTACTCCTACTCCGACTGGATGCCCTGTGAGTCTGCTCATCACAGCGGCCGCTTGCTTTAGGGAACACACACTCTGTCTCTCCCCTGCTGGCTCCCCGAGCTCCATCCTCTCTGAGAAGGCCCTGTACTGGGGTGTGTTCTAGCTCTGACAGGGCTCCCATGTTCCTCTCCGGGAGGAGCCTATGGGGGGACAGCTCAAAGCCAGGGGGTTAAGGGGCCCTGGGTGCAATCCGTGTTCTGCATCTTATCCTACACTCTGTCTCCGGAGCATCCATTCCCTCACCTGTAATGTGCACCTACTGATCTCCGCCTCACCAACCTAATCATAGATGCAGAGTGCCTATGTCCTTGTCTGGCACACAGTAGGCCTTTGATAAATAGTGACTATTAGCATGTAAAAAACATTAAGACACATAAAAGCATAAGGGCCAACAACATTAGCGATGATGGTAGTAATTATCCCCCTCTCCTCGTTCCTCCAGGCAGAGGCAGCCAAGGAGAGAGGACTATTACAATCCCTCCAGCCCAGGGAAAGATTTCAGCTAGATGCATTCAAGTTGTTCTCCAGCAGATGGGCTCTCATTTCTATGGTGGCTTTTCCACAGTTCGGCTCAGATCTGGGAGATAACTGGGTCCTGTTCTCAGCTGGAGAGGAAGCCCCTCTTGCCCACCCCAAAACAGTTAGGAGTCTTGAGCCCACCTCCCAGCTGCCCCAGCCTGTACAGCCCTGAGTGACTCCTTCTTGTCCCTCCTCTGTCCTGCTTGCCGAGAGGAGGGCTGAGGTTCTGTGTCCCCAAGAACGATGCAACGATGGCCACACTGTGAACGCGCTGAGAAAACCTCCACTTCCTGCTCAATGTCTGGCCTGACCCCACAGCCCGGGGCAGGGCAGGTCCCCTGCTAGACATCCTCAGTCTGGCTTAGCCTCTCAGTTGGATCTCCCTTTCCTCCCCCAGCTTCCTCCAGCTTGTTGGTCATGGGGGGCAACGGGAGAACCTTAATTTCCCCTGCTTCTAATCAGCACAGCTGGGAGAACCAACAGGCCAGGGCAGGCGGCGGTGAAAGGCCACAGGCCTAATCTACAAGCCACCCAGTCACCAGAGCCCGGCTCCCCTCCTAACAAGCCATGGAGCAAACAAATTATCTTTGTTGTTCCTGGGAAATCTGCAAGTACTTAGCTGTGTAATTAGCATCTGTGCCTCGTGCTGTGCCGGCTGTTCAGGTGAACAGGCCACGGCTACCCAGTGCCAGGCCGCCTGTAATCAAAACCAAAGCAGCGGGCAGGGTGCTCTCCAGTGAAGACGATGTCAAACTCAGTTGGGCCCTTACCTGGAGGGCCCTAGCTCTGAAATGCAAGAGAAAGAGGTAGGAGGTGGGGGCGCTCCTTCTTCCCCGGAACCACCCAGCTCTGGGAATGGGGGCAGCTGGAGGGCCAGGGGGGCCCAAGGTGCCCCAGTTAGCAGCTTCTCAGTCACTGATGCACATCTGGAGTCTGAAACCCTTCCAGCTCTGAGGTCCCAACTAAGAGGAGTAATAGTGCTAAGTGCCCTGTATTGATTGTCTACCAGGGCAGGGGCTTTATCTGTTACTATGGCATTTCATTGAAATCGCACACTGCCTCTGAGAAAGGGGTGACTATGTATCTTTCTGCAGATAAGGAAGCTTAAGCCTCTCCCGAAGTCATCTTGGCAGGGCCAAGAGTCAACCCTGTGTCCAACCCTGGTCTGGGCCCTTTGCTGGAGTCAGGTCCACCTTCAAGGCACTTGTTCGTGCAACAGTCAGCGGAGTCTCCCTGACATTGCGTATGGGGGTGGCAGCTCCCTTGGTGACACAGGACAGGGAAGGCTGTCTTGTTCCTGCCTGGGGGACAAGCTGTTTTCAGCTTCCTGCAGAACATGGCGCCCCTGTGTGGAGCAAGAACAGGCCAGAAATAGGCGCACCGTGTGGCACTGTTGGTGTTGGGGTTAGGAGGATGAGAGGCTCAGCGCGAACCGCAGAGGGACTCCCGCCCTGGGACAGCAGGTTGGCATCTGCAGAGAGGGCGCTGGCTGAGGTACCTCTCCCCGGTACAAGCAGCAGAGGCTGTGCTGAGCTGACCCCTGAGCAAGCGAACCCTTGGAGCCGAGGTTCAAGGCAGAACACAAGAGCAGGCAGCTCCTCGGTGAGAAGCCACATTTTGCATGGACAGTGGAAGAGGTTGCTCTTAGACTGGACAGCACCGAGAGACTGGGTTTTCATCAGGTCCTCAGCAAAGAGGAAATTGGAAATTAATATCAAAATCCCACTGAGTAGCGTCCATAGTTTCCACATGTAATCATGCTTGGCTTAGCAGGGTAGTAAAATGTTTATGATTTTCTTTCCAAGGTTGAGTTTAGTCATTCTCAACGAACCATTTTGTTGGCTTCGTTAAGTCCTGAATTAAAGAACCCCTGTAGGTGGTGTTATAGATGGATGGGTACCTGGGCCAGGCAGACCTCGCTGGCTGTGGATGTCAAGGCTGGGGCCTGGGCTGGGGAAACCCCACGAAGAAGCCGTCCCCCCAGACAGCTGTTCTGACAGGGTTGGGGCGCCATACACCACACGGGGCACTGGCTTGACAGCTTGCCGTCTGTTACGGGATCTCCGGTGACACCAGTGAGCCACATGCAGAAACTCAAACAGTGTGCCCCTCCCCCAGCATGTGCTTTTGGCACACTGAGGCCAGCTAATGAGGGCATGAGGCTGTCACTGTAATCAGGCAGACACTGCACTTGTCCTTCCGGCTTCATCATAGAAGGGATAAGCTCGCAGCCGCCTCCTGCCTCCACCTTTAGCTCACTCTACAGTGGGCTTTTGTTTGGTTCGGATTTTTTGAGACATAGGTCTTGCTATGTAACTCAGGGTGACCTGGAACTTGTGGAGATCCTCCTGCCTCAGCCTCCACATGCTGGGATTGCAGGCATGTGCTGGAAATGGAAAGATTTAAAGAGCAACCCAAGCAGCCCTCTCACCCTCTGCTGGAGCCAGAGGCCAGGGAAGGGCAAGCGAGGGCCTGAGGAGCCCATCCTGCATTTCCGCACACGTTCTCCCACAGTCACGCACACCCCTCACACACCTGCTCACACAGAGGGTGCATATTCATAATCACACAGTGATACGGACACTTCCACACATGCAGGCTCACACATACAGGTACACACTAATGCACGAGACTCAGAGACTCAGAAGCAGATCTTACATTCAAGACACTCAGAGACAGGCATGCACACACATAACACACACTCGTGCGGGCACGCCTTATGTATGACACACAGACACCCCCTGCAGACCACACGAGTGCGCTGAGACACACCCCTGTGCACACCACTTTCCTTCCTCACTTGGCCCGCAGACAGCGGAAGGCTGTGTTGGGGCTCCCTGTGCCTCTGCCTGAGTTACCACGCCCTCGGCCACTTACAGACTGATGAGCACGCATTTGGCCCCAGCCCTGCCCTCCTGTGCCTGCCTTCTTTCAGCTAAACGACAGCCTCTCTCACAACAGCACTACCTGCCCCCCAGGCTCTCTCTCTCTCACACACACACACACACACATGTGCACACGCACACACTCGAGCTCTCAAGCTCAGCTCACTCCCTCGCCAGCTCGCTGTCACACAGGACTGTCTCTTCTCGAGCCATGTCCACACCACCCGCCTGTCAGCTGGGCCCCCACCGGAACCCCCGGCTTCGCTCTTTGTCTCCCGCAGAGGCACACGGCCCTATGGAGACACCCCGTATCTGTCTGCCTGTCTCCCACACAACGCCGGACAACTTGAGCCATGGCAAGTGGGAGAGGGTGAGGCCTGATGGAGCCTGATATTCTTAGCCTTGTCAGGGAACACTTCCACCCTTCCAGGCTCGGCTCGGCTCGGGCCCTGCCCTGCCCATCACCCTCCCTGCGAGACAGAGGAGAACCTGAGGCTGCTCTAATCCCCCATCTGTGGAGAGGAGAAGGCACCCCAGCACTGAAAGGGAGCAGAAAATGGGATTTATTTTTGCTGCCGACCGCCCCCCCCCCGCCCCGCCCCGCAGCTGCTCAGAGAGCAGTTGGGGATGGGGTGAGATTGGAAGAGAGGGAATTTGCATTTGAAAATAAGTACTTGTTGGCCTGAAGCATTTGATGCCTTTGCTGAAATCTGTGTGTGTGTGTGTGTGTGCACGCGTGTGTGGTGTGTGTGTGTGGTGTGTGTGTGTGTGTGGTGCATGGAAGAAGACTGAGGCAGCAGCTGGACTCAGAGAAGCCAGTGTCTTTCCTAGGCCATTTCTTACCCTTTCTTGCTTGGAGCTGGATCCAGCCATAAATAGATCAGACCCAAGCTCGCTCTCTGACTGCCTTGAAAAGTGCCCACTGCCCATGTCCTTGAGTTCTCTCTAGGCCTACACCTTACACCCAGCCGCTAGGACGAGCAGGAGGGGGTTCGGCCCAGGAAACCCACCATGACCCAAACCGACACGCTTGAGGTCTTTCCTCCCAGCTTTTCCTCCTCC